TATATATATATATATATATATATATATATATATATATATATATATATATATATATATATATATATATATATATATATATATATATATATATATATATATATATATATATATATATATATATATATATATATATATATATATATATATATATATATATAATAACATTTAACACGTTATTATTTTTTTGGTAATGAAGGAACCGGCAGCCAACCATATAGGTGCACTGGTGTTGGGCTAAATACCTAACACGCAAGTGCACGTATCGCAAACAAGTAGTAAAAGTGGACTCGTGAGAGTCGGATGTCGATCCCACAGGGAATACTCAAATTATCTAATTCTAAGTACCAAATTCTAACTATTATGATTTTTATCCAGCCTACGCAAGTTTGTCAATTTAAATCAATTAAACAATTAAATTAATTAAGAAAGCAAATAAAGACAAGAAAATATCAATAAAAACGGACCTAGGATTTTATCTTCCCCCTATGCAAGAATTGCTCACCCAAAACCCCTCAATTATGCAATATATGATTCATGATTATTAACCCGAGACACTAATTTACTCATAACCCGCTGTCGCGTGTATTATGAGTCTATTATTCATAAACGGTTCACTATATGTCTATGCAAACAAATTATGAATAAAGCATTAACTAACAAGTCTCGTAAATGGCTACCTAAGCTGATATCTGTATGTTTACGACACCACATGCAATTGACACACTCATCCTGTGAAAACTACTCGAAGGTTCTTCTATTTACCGTCTAATTATCAAAATAGCTCTGTCGAGTCAATCCCAATAATCACAGATAAAACACATAAATTGATCAAGTTCATGCACTAACAATCATAGCTAGTAGAAGAAATAATCATAAAATCATAATTGTATAATCTCAAGAAAACGGGTTCACCATCCCCACATAGGGTTCAAATAAAATCCTAGATTAAAAGGTTTAGCTACTCGTAATTGTTATGATAAACAAAATAGAATAAATAAAAGAAATAAGAAAAACTATGCTTGAGTCTTCGTTGATCTTCGTTCTTCGCGGTTTGTGGTGTAAAATTTCGTACTTATGGTGTAGAGACTTGTTGCTTTTATAGGCTTTTCTTGATAAGGAAGTAGTAGAAACCTAATAGGAATCAATTTCCGCCACTTTCCACCATCAGGAATTGTTTGTCGATTTGTGCCATGTTAGAGTCCGAATTTTCGAATGTTGTGTAAATAAGAACTGTAGCCCTTGAAATTAGCTTTCCAATGCCGCCAAAATCACCTAATTCGGAGTTCGTATGAGAGAGATATGCTCGAAATGGTGGTCACTGTCAAAGCTGTGGCGAGATTCCTTCTTCCAATTTGATTTGTTTCCTTATTTGCAACTTTTTCCTTTCTTTTTGATCTTTTTTCCTTCATGGCCACCTAATTCTCGTTTTTCACATATAAAACACAAAATCAATCAATTAAAGCACAAATATAATTAAATCTAAACAAAAAATCCACGTAAAATAAACGTATTGAGTGTAATATCTACACTCAACAACTGGGTAAACCTACACTCTCGTATAACAGCTTGCAAAGCATACGTTGGATTAATTTATAAGATTAAAAACCTTACAGTTAGAAACATCAGAGTAACAGCCACAAAGGCCAGTGGACCAAAACCCTGGCAGAACGCCACCGCCGTGAGCAGGCTGCACCGGCGGTGGTTGGACGGCCTGATAGTTATTATGAGGTGGGATGGGTTCAGCTGTGGTGGCGGGTGGCGGCGTCTGGGAGTTTTTGTTGGCGTTCATCGATTCAATGTATTTTTTTTTTTGGAAAAGCAAAAAGATATATAGATAACTAATAATGTGTTTGATGAATGCTTCGTTTTATATAGAATTATAGATTGTATAGCATTAGAGTGTGAAGTTTTGGAATATTGTTGTTAATGGAAGCACGACACAAGCTATTATATTTAATTAATCAAAGATAGATACAGCTTACAGGGTCGGATCCAACATCAATTTATTTGTGTGTGTGTGTGTGGTGGGGGGGGGGGGGGGGGGGTGATTTGAAAAAAAAACTATAAAAGAAAAACTATTTGATTTTTTGTATTTAATATGACCATAAAATTATTATTAAAACTACTTAAACTTATAAATCATCCATTATAAATAATGACTATTTTATTTTTTAGGGGAAGCGCAAAATACACTAAATATATAAATTAAAAAAAAAAACATTAAAAGAAATAAATCTTTAACTTTTTTCGAAATATGAGGATTTGCTATCGAAACATGCTTCTAATTTTTCAAAAAATTACGATCGAAGTCCAATTACAAGTGCTCGACAGGCGTCCAATGCTTTAACAATTTTGTTCCGAAGTGTCGGTGCAACACATATATTACAATCGAAGTGATTCATTGATCAATTCATATTTTGTACAACAAAAACAACTAGTTCAGCGTGTATCGTTTTGTTTTGGGAAGCTTGATGCATATTTACAATAATAGAATATATTTCTCGATCAAATGAATTGTGACGAATGACAATCGGCACAAACAAATCCCGTATCCGAGCCCGAAAGTACAACTGGATGCCGCAGATAAGCATGTTCGTTACAATACGGCTTATTGCAATGATTGCACTTAGGTAGCTTCAGCCAACAATTCAGACACAAAGTGTCCGTACAAGAAGCCTCTTCAAGTTCTTCGTCGCCCCTTACGCAAATCCCACACTCCACGCACCTCGCGACGCACGATTCGCAGCCCCTCGTACAGTGCTTGCATGCAGCTCCATTAATGCAGTCGAAAACGATTCTCGTTTCGTCGCACTTTGGACATATTTCGACGTCGATCAAACGGTTGATGTAATTATCTTTGTATTTTCTGTACGTGTGGTATAAGATCTTGTCGGGTGTCTCCTTTCTTGTCTGATGATTACGGTTGATCATGAGATTTTCGAGTGTCTCGAGATCTTCTTTCTTGATGCCGTGTACGCCGTTGATTTGGAGGCTTTGTAATCTGTGGTTGCTGTTGTTGGTTAAAAGCTTCACTGATTCAATTATTCCTGCTGGTGATAGGTTTGTGCACCCTGGAATATGAAGCTGCGGAATAATATATACATAGGGTAAATTACGGCCAGCCTATGAGGCAAGGTTAAATTACGAAAAAATCACTTCATGTTTGGATAATTACAACCACCTCATCAACTATGAATATTTTTACACGTACACTTTTATGGTGTTAAATTCAACGTAATATTCCGTTGAATGTTTTCTAGTTTAATTTGTACTCGTTTTATGCAAAAAAAAATGCAGTTTCTGATGCACCACAATCTGATATATACAAGCCAAGAGACACATCTCATGATCATCTTATTTCAAAAAATGTGAAGCTCAAATGGGATAAAACGGGTGCAAACTGGAGAATATTCCACTTAATCTAGAAAATTCCACTAAATTTAACACTGCATTGTGGATGTGTAAGAAGATTTATAGTTGATGAAGATTATTGTAATTATCCAAATATGAGGGGGGTTTTCGTAATTTAACCTTACTTCATGGGTGACTGTAATTTATCCCAATATATATGACATTTTTTTTTTTTTTTTTTGTCAATTTCCCAAAAACTTAAATAAGAGTCTATTGCATGAGTTAATTATAATCCATATGTAATATGAAATTGCTAAAAAAGTCCTTGTAGTGTTGATATAAGCAAAATCCTTCCTACAACTACAATGCATTCTTTTTAAGCACACTCACAGTTCCATTAACTAAAAGGTAAGGTTTTAGGGGTAATTCATTAAAATAGTTGCATCATAGAATCTTTTTTGCTAATATGAATAACATAAGGAGGCCTTTATAACAATTAGAGTGAATACAGGGATGCTGAATGAAATAACCAATTAAATAAAATTCACTTGTTTGGAATATTAACAAATAAGTAGAGAATCCGCCGATTCTGGTCCGAAATTTTACGATTGCGGAACAATATTTTTCAATCCGAAATTCCGACTTTATTAACTAGTATTTTCACTTCCAAAAAAAATTAAATTTTATCCGGATGGGCTAATTCCGATCCGAAGCGGTTTATACCGTAACCAAAACCAACCAACCAATTCTTATCATGAAAGAAATTAATTAAAAGAAATTGGAAATACATAATAATAATACCTTGGTGATATGAGGATTTTGGGATACAAGTCTCAAAAGCCCATGATCTGTGATGTTCACACAGTTGATGAGTGCAAGAAACTGGAGCCTTCCTTTAGCTCTTGAAGCCACGTGGATTAAAATATTGTCGGAAATTCGCCAGCTGAGTGGCCGTTCGACCACTATTTTCAGCCACAAGAGTACGTCGTCGTTTACTGCATCTCTCAGAGATTTGCAGACACGGGTTATGGTCAGAAGTTCGAACAGAGGTAGATAAGCCAGCACAAAGAAAATCGCTTCATTTGGCGATGACCCTTTTACTAATAAACAACTGTCTTCTTCTTTCTTCTCTGCCATCAATGAATACTTCGAGAGTTTATGATTTTTGAATTGTGTGGAGAGAGAGAGAGAGATTATTATCTCCAATACTAAGATTCTTGTGAGGGGTTTCACACATTGACACGACACTTCTGTAATAGCTGGCGGAGCCGGTATAGGATCAATAGGGGCCATGACCCCCTTTACATTATGGGGAAATGAGGGATAACCCCTAGTCTTGAAAATATATATGGATAGACTCAATTGATTTTTCTTTCCTAGTCAAAAACCCAAATTCTAATCTTAATTTGATTGACCCCCTAGACAAATTGAGATACCTATTTTACCCTTTTACTTTCAATTTAATAAATAATATAGGGTAAATAGCACTTAGCCCCCCTGTGGTTTTCACGTTGTGCACTTTGCCCCTCTCTGATATCAATATGATCATTTTACCCCCTTGTGGTTGACAAGTTGTAGCACCGTCTAATAAACCGTTAAAGTTAACAGAAAAGGGACTGCCCCTTATTTTCCTACTATTTGCAGGTTATATTTTTTTTAATAAATAAATGTAAATTCAATTGGATTTAGTTAAAAATAACATCAATTCATAGGACTAAAATACAATTATCAGGAGTTCAAAAAAAAAAATCTTGCAAAGAATCTCTCTTCGTTAAAGTTGATGGAGCTACTGGAGGTAAGATGAAGAACAAATTCAAAAAACAAAAAAAATTAGTTTTGGTTTTTTGCAATTTAATATTTTCATTTTTTAGGGATTTATTGCATTCAGCACACACCGATTGTTTTTCACCTAATTCTAACTAAAATATTCGTGTCATCAATTAATATCAGCAAAAAATCCATACAATGCAATATTTTAGCACACTAGCTTCTAAAATCTCATTTGTGCTAAAAAAAAGTATTATAAGGATTTTTTTTTGGTTAATATTGTCATTACGTAGAGCCTTTTAGCAATTTGTATTATTAACACATAGATATACAATAAACTTATTTTTCTTAGTATAAATTAATTTCTTATACGATCGAAATCTAAAAATACTCTTCGGAGGGGACGAGTATTTTCAAATTGAAACAGGGGGCCATGACCCCCCACTGTTTCATAAAACTCCCTACAATTTAATATAGAGATTTATTATTTTTCGAGTATTCCAACACTATAGTAACCTAAAAAAAATTGTCCTTTGTTTTTTTTAATATAGAGATTTATTATTTTTCGAGTATTCCAACACTATAGCAAATACATTTTACCATGTGTATTGGTTTCTTTTAATAGTCAATTTGTCGTAGAAATTTAAGATATTTGCTTGATTTTTATTGTTTTTCTTCAAATTAGTATTATTGTTACTATAATCCCTTTTATAATCTGTAAATTAATGAATTCAGGCGACTTTTTGTTTCTTGAATATTTGCTTTTGCAGTCGAGTTTAATTTGTGCCCATTCAGCTTCCCTTTTCGTAAGCAAAACGGAGAAAATAAAAGCAAATTTTCAGGGCAAATTAAAGTTGTTTCTTTTTTAGAATGAAAAATATAAAATTCATTTTTTTAAGCAAAAACACGAAGGAAATAAAATTATTTTTCAGTAGTAGTATATTACTACTATTATCAGCATAAACAGAAGTTTTCATATTCCCTTATAATGTTGCAATTTATAATATATATATATATATATATATATATATATATATATATATATTTATATATACACACACACATTTTAATTTTTGTTTAAATGTAAAGGCGAAAAGTACAACTAACTTAACAAAGATTTATTGAAAATATAAAATAATTATAAAAAAAATTAGATGAGTATTTTAAAAATAATTAATATAGAAATTAAAAATGAATCTGTAATGCTTTTCTAATTAAAAGAAAAGTAAGGATGGCTGTAGAGTTTTTATTGAAGGAAAAAGGAGTAAAGTAGGTTTTAATATAATATTTTAAGTTGAAACCCTCAACCACTATAAATTTGGGCGAGTGAACTGCACTTTCCGTTAACTTTAACGTGGTTATCAAACGGTCGCTACAACTTGTCAACCACAAGGGGGTAAAATGACCAAATTGATATCAGAAGGGGGTAAAGTGCAAAATCTGGAAACCACAGGGGGGCTAAGTGCTATTTACCCAATAATATATTTTCCTAAATTTCTCTATCATCCGTCTCACACCCACCAAACGCCATATCTCTCCCCCTCTCTCTCTCTTTCTTTCTCTCTCTCCATCTCATTCTCTCTCGCCAGATCTGTCCGCTCCCCACCGCCTTCCGCCGCCAGTCGCTGCTCCCCACTGCCTTCCGCCGTCGGCTGCTGTCCCCTCACCGCCTTCCGACGCTGCTCCCCGCCGCTTTTCGCCGTCAGCCGCTGCTCCTCACTGCCTTCCGCCGTCGGTTGCTGCCCCCTCACCGCCTTCCGCTCCACCTTCAGCCGTGGCTTCAGCTTGTTTTTGGAACCGGTTGGGCGACCCATCGGCCTCCGGTTGCCGGACATATCTCCTAGCTCCTTCTTCCGAAGAGCCTCCACCGCCGCCTCCGATTGGGCTTATGTCGTTGCCCTGCCGTCGAGGTCGCTCATGCCGCCCTCGTCGCGGTTGTGCTTCTGTCCGCCCATGTTAAGGGGGTCGTTGGTCTCGATTTGCTCGTCCTCTGAGCTGTGGATCTGGTGGTGGTGGAATTGCCCAAATCCAGTCAGGTTATTTGACGAGCAACTCTTTGTTTTCATTTTAATTTGTGATTTTGAGATATGGCTTGAATGATTGGATGGTTATTGCTTCATTTTTTTTGCCGCTTGGCTTTTCCCTTTTTGACTTTTTTTTTTTCCTCTTTGGGAATTGAGAATGGATTTTATATGGTTTTTTATTTAAATGGCAGCAGTGAAGGAAGTATGTTGAGCTATTTTACTTGTTATAAAAATGTTATTTTTTATGGGTTTAAGATGTTCAATTTTGATGGATTGATGACTGAAAATTTAAGAAAGGGAAAATGGACAAATTTTTATATGTGTAAATGATTATACTATTGAATATTACTATGCATGACCATATTTATATGTAGTAACATATGCACGTGACTATGTATTTTCAGTCGATATTTGTAATATAAATTGTTATTTATAGTTATATATAAGATTCTGGTTTTTTTTTTTTTTTTTTTTTTTTTTAATTAAAATTCTACTCTCCATAACATACCTACGTTTGTAAATTATATGTATACATACCTAATTGATTCTCACTTTTTATATGCACTACAGTAAGTAAATATTTTTTTTTCAACCACATTGTTCTATACATCATCTTATATATATTTAATTAACTTTTTTGTGGTGTAAATAAATTTTATTCATATACATATATAGTCACATGTGGTCATGTACGTGTAGTCATATATAGTCACATGTAGTAACAAGAATGAACATAACTACATGTGACTATAGTTGACTACATATAGTCATATCTAGTCATAACTAGTCATATGCAGTAACAATAGTTCACATAACTACTTGTGACTGTAGTTCACCAAAATAAATTAATAAAAAAATGACATTCATTGTTTTTCTTTTTTTTTTTTGTATTTTTTTAATGTAACGTAATTCGTTTGTTCTATTTTGTTCTTCGTTTTCTTTAACTTGTATTTTTTTGTCCCAGGTTTTGGTTTGTATAAATTATGAGATGCAAATAATAAGATGAAGAGAGGTGCCATGTGAAGTTGCATTCATGCTACAGTACTCCAGACTTATGCGACTTATATAACTATAGATAATTGTATATAATTATAGTCACGTGTAGTAACATATAGTTATATGTATGTTATGTGTCTAGTAATGCGTGTTCATGTTTTGAAGATTATATGCATGTGATTGAGTTTTTTTCATTTTTCGAGGTTAGTTGATTTATAATATCAAGATTAAAATTGTGAATTTTCTTGTTGTTGTAAATTAATTTTGGAGTAAAAAGACAGTACATAATTATATATAATTATACACGACTGTGGTATAATTAATAATATAGTTATGTGTAGTATACTGTAGTCATGTTTAGTCAATTTCGGTACAGTAAATTTATCAAAAAAATAAAAAAAAAATTAAAATATTAAAAAAATAAAAAAATTAAAAAAATTAAAAAAATTAAAAAAATTATAATTAAATAAAAAATAAAAAATTAAAAAAAAATAACAAATTAAAAAAATTAAAAAATAAAAAAATAAAAAAATAAAAAATTTTAAAAATTTAAAAAATTAAATAATTAAAAAAGTTAAAAAAAATAAAAAAATAGGGTATATATAAAAAATAATAATAAAATAAATATTTATATTTTTTATTAAAAAAATCTATAAAAATGATAAATGCAGGCCCAAAATGCTAAATGTAGTTGGGCATCATGCTAAATGCAGGGGCTAAATACATAATGCAGTTTGGTGAAAATTGCACTTAAGGGCACAATAGTACTTTTGCCTCTCTAGGGGGGTATGTCAAAGGAAGATTTTAGGGATGAACTTATGCCTATATATTTTCCATTCTAAGGGTGTATATCAAATGGACCCTTACACTATTTCTCAAATTCGTATTATTTTATATGGACATATAATTAAATTTGTAAATAATTGCATTAAGGGTGTTTAATTTCCAAGAAATTCTTTTAATACATTCGCCCCACCACGAACTTAGAATCCTGACTCTGCTAACTGTATCTAATGTCGGCATATGAAAATATCATAATATACCATAAAGAGACAATTAAAAAATTATGCCCATTTTCATTTCTTGATTTTTTTTTTTTTTTTTCTTTTTTTTTTTTTTTTTACAATCATCATCCAACTAGAACACTAATAAGAATTTGGAAAAATTTGAACAGAAAATAGCTAGAGAATATTACGGATCGAGAATAAAGTGTTGTCATTGGTCGGAAAGGCTCGATGGCGGTCTTGAAGAGTGTAAATTGTCATTGGTCCGAAGGCTCGACAGCCGACTTGAAGAGTAGATCATATATAGATCGCTCTTTATCGATAGAGAAATACAAGAACCATCGTATGGAATATGTCACGTATGTATGATCCCAGGATTGTTTCGACTATGCAATGCCAAGCTGGACCGTATGTCGAATTGAATTCCTGCGAATCTAATAACATCTTGTCATAATTTAATTCACTAATAGTCACGACTTAATGTCGAAACGAAGAGCAATCAAGTGTAGTTTTTCTTTTATAGCCAAAAACGAGTTAAATCCTAATTTTAGTAATAAATATGTCATTTAATTCCACTTATAGATCAGATACATAATTTTAAAATGGAATTAAATATATTTTTATCTTGCAAATACACGTGTGCAAGCTCGTAAATATTAATACATAAAAAATTCCGTTCCAATTTCCACCTCTAAAAATCAGAAGTACATATACGGATTTTCAAATGGATTTCGCGAACGACAACCACCACAAACGAATCCCGCACTAGAGTCCGAAACTCGGTGCAGCTGCCGACAAGCATGCTCGTCGCAGTACGCCCTACTGCAAAAACAGCACTTCGGAATGGTCAGCCAGCACTTGAGGCACAAAGCGTACGCGCAAGAAGCCTCTTCGAGCTCTCCGTCGTGATCGCCCCTTATGCAAATCCCGCACTCGGCGCACCTCCTCGTACACATCTCGCACCCCCTGCATCCGTACTCGCAGCCCCGAGGGCAGTCGAACACGATCCCCATTTGTTCGCACTTTGGACATACTTCGACGTCGATCGAGTTACGGTCGATCGCCGCATCGTTTTCGTGATAGAAGATCTTGTTTCTCTCCTTTTTCGTACGGTTGATCATCATGAGATTTTCGAGTGTCTCGAGATCGTCTTTCTTGATGCTGTGTATGCCGTTGATTCGGAGGCTTTGTAATCTGTGGTTGCTGTTGTTGGTGTTGGTTAAAAGCTTCACTGATTCAATTATTCCTGCTGGTGATAGGTTTGTGCACCCTGGGATATGAAGCTGTGGAATAATATATAATTTCATATTTTTTTTGTGTCAATTTTAACAATTATTTAAATAAGAGTTTATTGCGTTTAGCAGTCCTACATTATACCAAAATTAGCAAAAATGTACCTACAGTGCATTTTTTTAGCACACAACACCCTAAATGGTGAGGTTTATTGCACTCGGCACCCTGTTTTTTTTTTAATGGTTAAAAAGCCTCTCATGTTATTTTATTACCAACACTAACCCCTAAAAATTCAGTAGTTAGGGGTTGTGTCCTACAAAAATGCATTAAAGGGAGTTTTGCCCAATAATAATATTATATGGGGAGCTTTTTAGAACTTTGAAATAATATAGGGGGTACTAAATACAATACTCATTTTTATAGGTAGTTTGTTAAAAGAACTGCATTATAGTGGTTCTCTTGTTGATATTACTAACACTAGGACCTTTTTAACAATTAAAATAAATATTGGGATGTTCAACACAATAACAAATAAAAAGATCCGATTGCTTTGAATAGGGGTGTAAATGAGCCGAGCTCGAGTTTGAGTTCACTTTGACGAGCTTGAGCTCGAGACCAAGCTTATTTGTTTATATGTTCTTTTTTTCTTTTTAATGTTTAAAACTTATTTATAATTTATATTTTTATATATTATCTAAAATAAAATATAAAATATATATTATAAAAGTAAAGCTCTAAGAGAAAAAAAACTCGAGTTCGTCTCATCAGAAAGTTTGTGCAAAACTTGAATTCGAGCTTTTGTCGAGTTTATTCATTGAACTCACGAGCCAGCTAATCAGGTCATTTACACCTCGAATTTTGAGTACCAAATGAACCAGAGAACCACTAAACCAACCAACCAACCAATCCTTGTAATATTTAGCAATCAAGAAATAACCTTTTAATCTGGTTTTTTTTTTTTTTTTTTTTTTTTTTTTTTTTTTTTTAATAATTTAGAATTATCAAATAAATGGAAATGGAAAAATGAATATGCATACATACCTTGGTGATATGAGGATTTTGGGCAAC